GCTCGAGAATTTATTACACTGGACTGTAGTCCAGTACATTTCAATTTTCAAGCATTTGAGGGGCAAACGAACAGTAAACAATAATTTTATTTGCATTAATTCTTCGTTTTTCAACGATCTCCATTGTATGATGAATCTTACTGTAATATTCCGCGAAAATCCATTGGTACTGGATTTGAGTACTATTACTACTTGTCTCAAGTATTTTTTCTACTTTTGAGAAGTACAGCTCGGTACTCAGTACAAGTACTTTCAGTACTGATGATGAGTATAGTTGGTACTTGTCACCAGTGCTAATTGTACTTGGAGCATAAAACTTGTATTCAGTCGATTTTCGACTTGGACCAAGTAAAAAAATTGGCTTTTCTCCAGAAACGCCTCGGTACTGAATACAAGTAGTTTTCCTACTTATCAGAAGTAATCTTTTTTTAGAGTGTATAAGAAGCGACTTCCATTGTTAATAATTTGAAAAGGAAATCTGAAATTTTTTTAGAAAAATTCATAGATAATTCAATTGTGATTATAAAAATTTTATATGACTTCTAGATGAATGTCACTTCCCATACGGAAAAATTGATATTTTTAAAAATATATTAAACAATCTCTTAAATTGGCCCAATTTATAGAAAAAAAAATATATGAAATATATGTTTTATATATTTTTTTTATATCTTCTTTATAAATTTGAAAATTATATGGAATTGGCCCATATTATATTTTTTTTATAAATTTTTTAAGGGGGGTATTTTCCTTTTTCGCACGAAACATCTAAAAGAAGTATCAATAAACTCCAGCTGAGGCGTTCAGTGTAACGAGGAGTAACACATTCAAAAAGTAAAAAAAAATATTCATCATTGATCATTTTTCCCACCAATTGTAACTTTGATGAGTGCAAGAAATTGATCCATCAAATTATTTCTGGAATTTTTTTATTAATAGTCTCTTGTTTGACAAGGGTGGTTCGACATAACACGCTATTTCAGGCTTCAAGAAACATAAATTATTTATTACAAAAGTTTGACACTGACGATAATTTTTATATTGGGTACAGAATTTTTATTTATTTTTTCTGATTTTTCGAGATTTGTGTTAGATTTTAATATTCTCCGTAACCTCAAAAAATTCAGTAGCGAAGCTGTAAAACTATTCAAGTCGATTTTGACTATTAGCTAGTTTTCAGTGAATAGCTCGAAATCTGAGGGAGATAGCAAAATTTTGGTCATAACCTTTTTTGTAGTTCTCACTTAGCTCTAGAAAAAAGGTAATTACAAGAATCTCGTTATCTTCTTTAGATTCGGAAATATTCTTCAAAAACTCAACTAACAATAACAGTTGAATCGACTTGAACCGTTTGACCGTTTCGCTACTTAATCTCTCACAAGAGTGTATTTTTTTTACTTCTAGATTAATTCTTATCAATAATACTAGACTGCCGATTGAGCACAAACTCAACCAGAATGTTTCCATTCAGATTAACTTTCCTTCAGAATTTATTTCATATTTTAATCTTCAAAATTCAAGCTATGGTCATACTACTTTAATCATTTAGCGCTAGTCATAACATTTTTTGTCTCCCTCCGAATAGTCCAACAGCATTTTATGTATTAGGAATTAACTTCAACTTTAGGAGTCATTCTTAGTCTTTCCATTTTGTCTGTTCGTGCGGAAAGGTGTTGCTTATGAGATCGACAATTGTACTTCATTTTGTGGTCAAGAAATAAACATTCTACAAAAAAAAGTAAAGGCGACACTTCATATCTTCAATGACTGATAAAGCTGGTGGAATCGAAAATATTGAAGTGGGAAGATTGATGTCTGACGGAGTGTGATAAATTTCAGGCTTGGTAGATTAATTCAGAGATTAAAAAGTGGTAGAACAAAAAACATCCGTCCGAGTTCACTTGAGATATCGAAAGCGGCGAATGTAGAGGCATCGATCGTGTCATGGAAACAAGTGCATCTTAACGAATAAAAACGAAAGGAAAAATAGCGACTTTGAAGTTAATTCAAGAAGAGGAACGTAATTCTGCAGAAAAATGAAAGGTAATGAATATGAATATTGAGTTTTTATGTATTATCTGATTGTCTTCGCAATGAAAAATTCAGTTGGGATTCTCTAAATACGATTGTATATTTTTGTTCTTTTTGAAAGCCCTTTTTTGGACGCAGGAAATAAACAAGTGGACAATGACACTTTTTAATAAAACAAAGTATAGTAATTGTTGTGAATAACTTAGCAATTTGCTTCTGGTTGTTTTTTTACATTCTTATTGCACTATTCTTTTCTTTCATTTTTTCATGTAATAGTGCTATCATTAATTCAAATATCATCAAAATTTTGCATACTATTTCGTTCTGTCAAATAATTCTACATTTAGATCCTGTCAAGACTCGAATTCGTTTTCCGTCCGGGTTTAATCAAGGTTCAATCAGAGTTTGACCAGTGCATAACCGGGATTTAATCAGGGTTTGTTCAGGTTTTAGCCAGAGATTAACCCAGGTTCAGTAACTAAGGTTCTCAAGGCTCAAAATATGGGTCACGAGGGTCAAAATAAAAGTTATAAGTGTCAGATTAAGGGGCATAAGAATCAGACTACAGGTCATATGTGTCAGATTAAAGATCATAAGGGTCAGATTAAGGGTTTAAATGAGGGTGACAAGGGTCCAGTTAAGTAACATGGGGGTCAAAAACCAAGAGCCAGAAACTAAAGGTCATCAGGGTCAAAGTAAGGGTCACGAGGGTTATAATAAGGGTCAGATTAAGGATCCAAAGAAGGGTCACAAGGTCAGATTAAGGACTAAGAAGGTCAGAAATGAAGGGTCAGTGACTACGGTTCACAAAGGTCAAGATAAGGATCTCAAGGGTCAAAATAAGAGATATAAGTGTCAGATTAAGGATCACAAGAGCCAGATTATAGATCATATGTGTCAGATCAAGGGTCGTAAGGGTCAGATTAAGGCTTCAAATAAGGGTGACAAGGGTCCGGTTATGTAACATGGGGGTCGAAAACTAAGAGTCAGAAGCTAAAGATCATCAGGGTCAAAATAAGGGTCACGAGGGTTATAAGGAGGGTCAGATTAAGGATCCAAATAAGGGTCACAAGGTCAGATTAAGGAACACGAAGGTCAAAAATGAAGGGTCAGTTACTAAGGTTCACAAGGGTCGGAATAAGGGTCTCGAGGGTTAAAATAAGGATTATAAGAGTCAGATTAAGGGTCTCATGAGTTAGATGATAGGTCATATGTGTCAGATAAAGGGTCATAAGGGTCAGATTAAGGATCACAAAGGTCAGAAATGGGGGGCCAGTAACTAAGGTTCGCTAGGGTCAAAGCAATAGTCACAAGGGTTATGAGGTTCAGAATAAGGGTCACGAGGGTCAGATGAAGGGTCGCAAGGGTCTAAATAAGGGTCATGGGTGTCATATGAGGATTGGCGAGTGGAGCGAGCAGGGGGCGTTCCCCCTAGTATAGAATATTATTATAATGAGTAGAATATTACTTTATATACTTTCATAATTAATCCTTGTTCAACAATTTCTGAATGATTATCATCCCACCATGATAGCAGCTCATCTTACATTAATAACAGTATCAGCGTCGAATTGGCAATGCATTGCAATCGCAAATGAATAAAATGATCGATTTATCAACTCTATCCGATCGGTATAAGCCGCTATACTCGACGGTAACTTTTCCTGGAAATTTGATTCCTTATTTATAGTTCTATATTATGAATGTACTTGGATCGAGTCGAAGTGTTGTTGACCTGATGACAAGTCTACTCACTCGGCTTTCCGAAAAATTCGGCGATTGTGCATGCGAACAAGTTTAGCGAGTGGAGAATAACTATTTGATTACACCTTGAAAGCATGAGTATGTTTCTGTTTGTGGTCTTTGTTACTTTTAATGTCTCATTTGCATTTCTGTATCGTATTTGTAGTGTGATTTTTATTAACATTGAGAGCTTTCAGTCGGGATGATTGCAGTGCACTATTGTTGCGGATTACGAGTCAATTGGGTTGAGTGACCTTGCCTAAAGTAGTATGGATCAACTCCAGTTGAGTCGTTAAGTGTAACAAGGGAGAATAAATTCAAAAAGCAAAAAGAAATTATCATTGATCATTTTTCCCATGAATTTGAACTTTGATGAGTGTAATAAATAGATCCATTAAATTCTTTCTTCAATAATTTTTTTCAACAATAGACTCTTGTTTGACTGGGGTTTCTTGATGTAACACGCCATTTCGGGCACGCAGAACCATAAATTATTACAAAAGTTTGAGATTGACGATAATTGTTAAATTGTTCATAGAATTTTCATTTATTTTTTCTAATTTTTTGAGATTTTTTTTAGATTTTAATCTTCTCTCTAACCTCGAAACGATCATTTTCTCATAAGACTCTGTGCTATTTTTGCACTTCTAGATTAATTATTATCAATAATACTAGATTGCCGTTTGAGAACAAATGTAACCTGAATTTTTCTATTGATATCAGTTTTGTTTCGAATTTATTTCAGATTTTAATTTTCAAAATTCAAGTCATGTTTGTACTACGTTAAAGTGGTAGGAATAAACTCCAGTTGAGTCAATGAATGCAACGAGGCATAATAAATTCAAAACGCTAAAAAAAATTTTCTATTATTGACCATTTTTTCCATGAATTTTAACTTTGATGAATGTAAGAAATTGATTCCTCGAATTCATTCTTCAATTACTTTTTTAAACAATAGTCTCTTGTTTGATTGGTGTTTTTCCATATAACACGCCATTTCGGGCATGTAGAAATATAAATTATTTATTACAAAAGTTTGACACTGAAGATAATTTTTAAATTAGGCCTAGAATTTTCATTTATTTTTGTTCTAATTTTCCGAGATTTTTTCTAGATTTTTATTTTCTCCCTAATCTCAAGAAGTTTATTTTTTCATAAGACGGTGTTATTTTTGCACTTCTAGATGAATTATCATCAATAATACTAGACTGCCGATTGAGCACAAATTCACTCAGAATCTTTTTAATCACATACTTTTCGTTCCGCATTTATTTCACATTTTAATCTTCAAAATTCAAGTTGTGTTTATACTACTTTAATATTATATTCTTTCATCATCATTGAGTTGATAGTTTCAACACTGCACTAATGAAATATGAATGCCGATTAAGCACAAATTCACCCAGAATTTTTCTATTTATATAATTTTCGTTTCGAATTTATTTCAGACTTTAATCTTCAAAATTCAAGTTGTGTTTATACTACTTTAATTTTACATTTTATGATCAACATCATTGAGTTGATAGTATCAGCACTGCATTAATGAAATATCATAGCATAAGATCATTCTTCCCATGATATCTTGAAGAGGGGTCACGCGCCTTTTTCATGTGCCGTCAATGACCTTTTTCTTTGTTTTTCTGATACTTTCAGGTAGTGTGAATGAACACCGGCTATTGACCAGGCAGACACCCAGTTCGATGCCCACAGAAGATGTTAAAGAGCGCATGCAGGTGAGAAACGCATTCAAGAGGGGTGAATTTGCAAAATGAAATAAGTCAATATCAGGGATCCCCATCAATATTAAATTTCTGTAATATTACAAGAATTTTCCCCATAAATTAATGAATGTTTAAAATATGTTGATTCAATTTTTCAAATAACATAATATTAATAATCTGATTTTTTACGAATAACGATGTATTTAAAATTTGTTGATCTGAAACTGTGAATTTACTACTAAGTGAATAATTCAAATTTCTTAAAAGGGGATTTTCGATTACATAAGTAATCTTCAATCTTCCTACCTCAATTATTGATTGATAAAATAGTTGAAAATTTGAATATTTGAATTGATGATACTTAAGTACTCAACAAATTTCAAATGATGTTATTTTGTGACGTTCGGGGAAAAACTTAGGATAAAGAATAGAATTATTTTTAATTGAAATTTTAGTGTGTTGGACGCCAGTCGATGGATTATTTTTCGAGAGTGCATCGACTCCTCTCGATTTAGAATTTTCAACAATTTTAACAAAATTACAATGGCTGGTAGCTTAGGTATCAGAGTAGACTCTACTTGTTACAAGGAGGAGGGAGGACGATACTCCCAGCCTGCAATTTTACCTTCCACACTCACACAATGAGAACACACAATTTAACAAGAATAATCAAATATAATTTCACACAAAGAAAAATGATGAAATTTACAGGAAAGTTGAATAAGGGTTATAATTCCTCATTATTCTCAAAATTATGATGAAATATCCATAATATGGATAGATATTCAGTTGAGGGTCGATACGTCACCTCAAAATACAATGAATTCAATTTATCACATTTTATTTTCACACAAAAATTAATCAGAACTAATGAATTTCAATATTGTACTCATAAATTTACCAAAAGTAATCATCAAAAATCGAAAAAATATAAGAGGAGTTGATCACAACTGCCTCAACTCAAGAAAATATAATGCAAAATTAGAAAAGACGCCATCTTGGACGCTTTCTCAAGAATAGCCAAGACAAAGGCTATAATTTTACAATTTTACTCAAATTTAATAACCATTCGGCTCTGCGCACCTTTCGATTTGTGAGAAACCACCTGCTCCAGGATAGACAGCAACCTCCATAATAAAAAATGATAAATTTAACTCAAAATATACAAAATAAATGCCAATCTGGCGAACAGTACTATTTTGCGACTACATCTCGCGTTGGCTAGGAGACGTCTCTCCTCATGCTTGGGCCGGTTCAACCATTGAAATGTAGTATATACTACATTTCAGTGGGTTCAACCGATATGCCTGCTTGATCTTGTTTTGGGGGAGGAACCTCCCCCAAATTCATAAGACACTGAATTTGATTGGATATCGAAGTTCTAACAGAAGTATTAAACGCTAGAATATTCTACGCACCTAATTCACATGAAAATTATTTCCCAAAAACTCCTAAACGGATATAAATCAATATTCTCGATATTTTAAAGCTTATTTTAGATTAAATGTCGTGAATTATTTCCAACGTTGGAATATTATTCACATTCGAGTATCCCTCGCTGACTTCCTGTAGGTTTTGCTCGTCAGACAAGGGGGAGCTTCTCCCTCTGGTCGTTCCTCGCGTCAGGGTACCCTGGACCATAGTTGTTCGGTGGTTGATGGCAATGGATACTCGGTTGAAGACATCTTCTGCTCCCATTTGAAAAGCACGGGCTTCGTAGAGGAACGCCATCGTCCAATCCCCCTTTTCAATGGCCTGAACGGGATGGTCTGGATGTTATTTGGTCCTAAGAGATTTTTCTCAGAACCTTCTCTTCTCGACTCAACCCGTTGTCGTGGAGTTATGCCCGTCGGAGATGACAAATGGTATTAGAATTCGAAAAGGTTTGGAGTATTTCCTTTCCCGATTCTCATGGACGAGAGAAGTCTCCTAGAGGCTAATTTTTAACAATTTTGCCTGAGAAGAAGGTCTTGATTTTCATTAAAAAATGAAAAACAAATTTTACAAACAAAAAATAAATTACGGGTTGACGACCCATGTCGTCATAATCTAATTAAAGGCTACAATATTAACCTTAATAAAATATTACAAATTTGGCTATCCTTGGTCAATATCAGTTCAATTTTAATTGATCAGAAATATTGGAATGCAAAATTTCCGAAAGAATATGAGACCTTGTATGTCTGACCTTTATATTGACCTTCATTCCTTTATCCCAATCGCTTCATCTTATTCTCCACTTCGCTATGTTTTTACATTCAGAAACTACGAGAAATCCTCGATGAAGTCAGAAATCGGCTCAACGACATAGTGACGGAAGCCGTGGAGAGAATCGAAAGGATTGTACCCGCTGGGCCCATAGGAAAAGCTGCAGGAAACACCTTACATGCAGACAAAAAGTATGATTCTTTTACTAGAGAGAAGCAATGTCCGGACATGTATGTACGCTGAAAGAAAAACGCACGTATGAAAAAATTTAATAGAAAAACCTATCGAATTCGTTAGAAAATTCTGTTGAATTTCTATTAAACTTTCTATTATTTTTTGGCAGATTCTATTGACATGTTCAATAGAAAACATTCAATAGAAAAAGTCAACAGAATTCGATTTTTCTGTATAACTTATTCTTTTCATATATTTTCTATAGAATTTGCTCCACTCAAATTTTCTAATTTTTTTTCATTCTACTTTTCTTTTCTTCTCATCAAGAAAATCAAACGAAAAAACTTAGAAAATTTGAGCCGAGGAAATTCTATAGAAAATATCTCAACAGAATAAGTTATCTAGAAAAATTGTATTCTATTGACTTTTTCTACTGAATATTTTCTATTGAACATTTCAATAAAATCGGCCAAAAACTAATAGAACAGTTCAATAGAAATTCAATAGAATTTTCTAACGAATTCGATAGGTTTTTCTATTGAATTTTTTCGTCCGAGCGAAACGTTCCTTGCCTCACATGCGAAACGTTCCGAGTTCAAATCCCGGTCGGGTAGAATGGTGCGATCTAACCATTTTAAAGTCTTGATCATCATCGCAGTATATCCTAACCGGGTTGAAGCGATGTAAAATAATGATAAAAAAAAATTATTCTTATTTCATTTGAGAATTCATTTTTTGTCTGTGATTGTTGAATAGCCGAAACGACAAACTAATATCCCTCGGTTAATAAAAGACGAGCATTTTCCGAGGGCAAAATACGTATGGGGCATCGAATAATAAAGAAATAGTGCTAGAAATTACATTTCTCCCTTGCACAGACTAAATTTTTTTTGAAAAGACAACCTACTTTTTCCAAAATTCAGATGACAACCGGTTAGCCTAAGTGGTCTTCAGCAATTTTAGAAAGGTAGAAATGAAGTTGAAGTTAAAGAATTCTTTAGGTTTTAAATTTTTGTTGTTAGAGCAATAGGTTTTTCTCTAGTTTAATTTGTTTGATTTGTAATGATCTAGAGCATTGGATTAATAAAGAAGCCCCTGATAAGGTCTTCCCTGCAAGACGAAACGTTGGGCCATCACAAAGAATTCTTCAACTTCAACTCCATTTTTACGTTTCTAAAATTGCTGCAAACCGCTTAGGCCAACGGGTTGTCATCTGAATTTTGAAAATAATTACAACGGTCAAAAAAAACCTATTCAATGAATCTATTTTTGCAACAAAAATTTTCAATCTCGGTGCATGTTTCGCATGTTTGGCACAAAAAAAATCCTTTTTGGATCATTTTTAACAAACGATTTTTTTGGCCCAAGTAAGACTTGCGTGAGAACTCTGTTGTTTTGCTCTCAGTGTAGGGTAACCAGACCAATAGATAGACAGTTAATCCTTGATCATTCGCTCAATGGGCGCTGCGCCGCCGTTTTTGGTTTTTTAAATATTTTAGCGCGTTTTTCAACGCTTAAGAATTCTGAAAATATTAGAGTTCCTAGGTCAATCCTTTTATTAAGCATTGGCGTTCGGCGTGTTATCTCGGGAAATTTGTTTAGCAAAAAAAAGAAAAGAAACGTCGGATGAACAGAAAAGTGGGGCTGCGCCGTCCGGTGCGAGTGAGTCCTTGGCGACCTCTCGAGCGACAATGTTGCTACATTCACGACCACACTTAAAATGCGCGCATAGCGGTAAGCGCCAAAGGTAGTAACAGCCGCTAAATTTCCAAATTTTTGAACAAATTTCATGCCGAAAGTTAACGATATTTTTACAAATTGAAGCACATTAATCTACAGGAGGTGACGATGAAGATCAATGTGCTTTGGGTTCGAAAAATATTAATAACTTTGAGCAGGAAATTTGTTTGAAAACTTGGAGGAAACGTTGGCCTTCTGTTACCCCTTAACCCCTCACGTACGGGGCCTTTCTGATACCAAGTCTACCACACGCTCAATACTCTTCGCATCCCATATTTTCTGATCAATGAAAAATTATAAATAAAATATATAATCGAAGCTATAGTATTCACCTTCCCAATGGTATTAGTCCGATTGTATTATCTGCCATAGTTTTGGAAATATTCAATTTTGAAAAGAGCCGTGCGTTTTTGCATGGGTCGGTATGACATACCGAGCCTGTACGTGAGGGGTTAAGAATAATTTGAGGTCCGTCAAGAGATTAAAACTTGATAAATCACCGAAAGACGCCAACGATGGGTTCTATACCTGAAGAAATATATAAATTATGGGAAAACAATGATTTCAAGTGGAAGTGTGATAAACAGACGAAGGTCTGTTTGATCGCATGTTTTATGGAATAGAATTTCAACGACTTACTACTTGCGTTGGAACTCGACTCCATCTAATTTAGATTCTTACCTATGAAGTGCTCTGCACATCTCGTCCATTAGTTCGAATGGACAGCAATTAAGGTGACACGAATATCAAAATTAATAATTTAAAGATTGTTCGAATCATGAATAACAATAATTCTTTTTATTTGAACTAAACGCAAATTAAATGGGCTACAAATGTTTCCAATCTCTCACATTTAAAAATTCTCTTAATATTTTAGATAGCCCGATTGGGATTTGCTTTCTTTTATTTATATTACGACTAAGAGAGAGAGAAGAGATCTTCGAAAACAGACCAATTTCGTATTCTTTACTCGATTAACTAGAGAACTAGATGACTTCAACAAAACGGAAACTATGATTTTATAGGATAATTTCTAATGGGCTAACCCTTCACAATATATTAAAATTCCTCACTTGAGTTGATAAGGTTTGTTTTCCTCGATCGATCGGTGGTGTGATGAAACTGGTTTCTTTATGTGCGGTATTAACCCAAATAGAATACTGAACTGTCTCACGTTCCGTTAATTAAATGCAGAATAAAATTATTGGTTGATGATTTAATTGATCACAATTTGAGTCCTTGCTCTGAACACACGTAACTGCGAGGATCAGCACAGAGTCACGTATGCAGACGCGATCTACGACGATGGGCGTAATTGATCGCGTTATACAGTATTCCCAAAATCATATCGCAAATGTTGGTCACTAAATTCCGGTTAAAAGCCCTATTTATTAGCTCTGTCAAGTTGGCCGACCTAGGTGCTCCAAAAGAGGGGGGGACAAACTCAAAATTAGACGCTTTTTGTTGCTGTCAATTTTTTTTTTGGTGCTATAATAGGAAAGTCAAAAATTACGTTTTGAGGATTTCAGCGTCAAGCCAGCGGATCGATTTGGGAAAAATCCATGGCAAAGGAATGGGGCACATCGCATAATTAGGCGCTTTTTTAGTGCTTTCAGATATCCCGAAAAAAATCAATTCAAAAATATGAAAAAAAAATTTTTTTTGAGAATACATGGAGAATGACAGTCGTGAGCAAGAATGGAGTGGATGTGCGGATGGTGGTATAAATTATCACCCGAATTAAGCGCCATCGATTGTGGATGAGAAAAAAATTGGTGCTTGCAACCTTGCGAGCTCATAAGCTCAAATCGTGCAGATCAAGAGACAAGGTTAATGGAAGCATTATGAGATGTCTCCAAATATCTCCAATAATTCCAAATATTAGGCGCTCACCATTTCTGATGACCAATTAATTGGTGCTTGTGTCAATGGAAGCTCGCAAAACAAATAATAAAAGTGAATGGAGTGAATGGAGTGACACAGTGTCAATGGAGTCATAATGGGATGGCTCAAAATTTCTGTAATAATTCCAAATTTTAGGCACTCACCATTTCTGATGACCAATAAATTGGTGCTTGTGTCAATGGGAGCGCACAAGTTCAAATAGTGCAAATCAAAACACAGTGTCAATGGAGTCATAATAGGATGGCTCAAAATGTCTGTAATGACTCCAAATATTAGGCGCTCACCATTTCTGATGACCAATTAATTGGTGCTTGTGTCAATGGGAGCGCACAAACTCAAATAATGCAAGTCAAAACAGTGTCAATGGAGTCATAATAAGATGGCTCAAAATGCCTGTAATGACCCCAAATATTAGGCGCTCACCTTTTCTGATGACCAATTAATTGGTGCTCGTGTTAATGGAAGCTCGCAAGTACAAATAATGAAAGTCAAAACAGAGTGTCAATGGAGTCATAACTTGAGGGCTCAAAATGTGTGTAATGACTCCAAATATTAGGCGCTCACCATTTCTGATAACCAATAAATTGGTGCTTGTGTCAATGGAAGCTCGCAAGTCCAAATAGTAAAAGTCAAAACATAGTATCAATGGAGTCATAATAGGATGGCTCAAAATTTCTGTAATAATTCCAAATATTAGGCGCTCACCATTTCTGATGACCAATAAATTGGTGCTTGTGTCAATGGGAGCGCACAAGTTCAAATAATGCAAATCAAAACACAGTGTCAATAGAGTCATAATAGGATGGCTCAAAATGTCTGCAATGACTCCAAATATTAGGCGCTCACCATTTCTGATGACCAATAAATTGGTGCTTGTGTCAATGGGAGCGCACAAGTTCAAATAATGCAAGTCAAAATATAGTGTCGATGGAGTCATAATAGGATGGCTCAAAATGTCTGTAATGACTCCAAATATTAGGCGCTCACCATTTCTGATGACCAATTAATTGGTGCTTGTGTCAATGGGAGCCGCAAGTCCAAATAATGCAAGTCAAAACACAGTGTCAATGGAGTCATAATAGGAAAGCTTCCACTGACACTGTATTTTAACTTCCTTCATTTGGATCTTGGAGCTTGCATTGATACAAGTACCAATTAATGAGCCATCAGAAATGACGAGCACCTAATACTCTGGAGTACATGAGACATTGTTCGATATCAGAGAATGCCCCCATTGACAGTATATCTTAATTTTATCTTTTTGGATCTGGCGAGCTTGCATCAACACAAGCACCAATTAATCAGCTATCAGAAATGGAGGGCGCCTAATACATTGGAGCATAGAAGACATTGTCCAATATCAGAAAAGGCCCCATTGATACTGTATCTTGACTTTTTTTCCTTTGTCCTTACAGACATTTTGAGCCCTCAAGTTATGACTCCATTGACACTGAGTTTTAACTTTATTTAATTAGACTTGCAAGCTTCCATTGACACAAGCACCAATTAATTGGTCATCAGAACTGGTGAGCGCCTAATATTTGGAGACATTACAGACATTTTGAGCCCTCAAGTTATGACTCCATTGACACACTGTGTTGTGATTTTCTTTATTTGGCATTGTGAGCTTCCATTGACACAAGCACCAATCAACTGGTCATCAAAAATGGCGAGCGCCTAATATTTGGAGTCATTACAGACATTTTGAGCCCTCAAGTTCTGACTCTATTGACACTGTATTTTGACTTGCATTATTTCGACTTGCGAGCTTCCATTGACACAAGCACCAATTAATTGGTCATCAGAAATGGTGAGCGCCTAATATTTGGAATTATTGGAGATATTTGGCGACATCTCATAATGCTTCCATTAACATTGTCTCTTGACCTGCACTATTTGAGCTTATGAGCTCGCAAGGTTGCAAGCATCAATTTTTTTCTCATCCACAATCGATAGCGCTCAATTCGGGTGACAATTTATACCACCAGCCCCACATCCATTCCATTCTTGCTCACGATTTTCATTCTCCATGTATTCTCAACATTTTTTTTTATATTTTTGAAAAAAGTTTCGGGATATCTGAAAGCACTAAAAAAGCGCCTAATTATGCGATGTACCTGATTCCTTTGCCATGGATTTTTCCCATTTTGGTCCGCTGGCTTGACGCTGAAATCCTCAAAACGTACTTTTTGATTTTCCTATTATAGGACAAAAAAAAAATTGACAGCACCAAAAAGTGCCGAAAAAGCGCCTAATTTTGAGATTGTTCTCCCCTCTTTTGAAGCACCTAGGACTATCAACTTGATAGAGCTCTATTTATTAGTAATCCATTAATAGAATTACTAGGGGATGAGTGACGGAGACGTGACGTAAATTTTTTTTGATCGCGAAAATTAAAATTACTGGAATCCCACGGGGCTCGTTATAGCTCCGCAGGTGGGACTGTCTATTAACAGGTTTTTAGATGTAGTGCAGGCGACGAATGTTCGTCCAGAATGTGCTGAAGACAGCAACTTCTGGACACAGGTGCCTGTTAGTGGGCAGTTTAGATGTGTATGGTTGTAGGGAATGTGCATAGTTGGTGAATTCGGTGGACGACGAGCGAGCAAAGTTCAGGATTTTAACTCGTGAATAAATTTAATATGAAAGAAAATTTTATAACCCAAGAGAAAAAAATCAAAATTTTTGTACATAACAGAAGCAATGAAGGAATAAATGATAAAATGACGAAAAAGTGGGATACCGCCCAAACACCCAATAGATAGGCGACTGACCAGAAGATAGACGGTGGGTTACCAGTAGATAGACGGTCATATTTAATGGTTATTCAATCAAATTCATTCTTCTGCATATTTAAAAATGAAGAGTGATCCTTTTTGATAATAATAATCGAACAGATACTAATTGTAATCGTGTTTATTTGTCCTGTTGACTGTTTTCCACATTGTTCCGTCAACACTGCGTGATTGTTGTCTAACTACTGACACCGTCACTGAGGGCCAACACTGTACCTCGCGAAAAAATTTTTATGTTCAAAATGTTCATCAATAAAAAATAAGAAAATCATTGTATTATTGTGCATTAGTTTTATTATCAAAAATGAAAATTTGTAATACAATTTCTATTATATTTTGGTCAAGATCACTATCAATGGCTTTTTTTCCAATTATTTAATTTCAAATGATTTAAATGTTTAATTGTTACTATATCGCGCTCCCCACGTTCCGTCATGCTGACAGACCCGCGACGTGTATGCAGTGGGGCCCAGAGTCCAAAAATTTCTTGTTTCAGGGCTGTCTCAACCATGAGGTTGAAATGTCCACGAAACGGGATTTTCACCCAAACCCTTTCGGCTCTTCTGTCCTCAATGGCAATTAGGCTAGTGTTTGTTAGCTAACACTTAATTGTCTCATGGGTAAGGATCTTGTAAAGTCACGACGATACTCAATACACCTCCGCCTCCCTTCTTAAGGTAATTTAATTTTAATGAAATTTACAATTTAAAATGAACTAAAATCATTTTTAATTCTACTATTATGAGTATCTAGGGATTAACACCCTTTAATTTCTTCACAATTAAATGTGTTACTCATTGAGAAGCCCCTATGTAACAATTTTTTAAGACTTTTTCTTTTTTTTCTGTCTCAACCTTTTTTTTCAACTCTATGAGATATAAAATTATTTTTCTAAACAAGTTATTCATTGATATCTAGTGCTGCGGTTCTTCTTATGACAGTGCTGGTAGCTTGGATTATTTGATCGTAGGTGGTATTTTTCAACGCTTCCCCTAAGGCCGGAAGTCTTTGATGTTCATAATGATCTTCCATGAACTGGTATTCAGCAAAATATTGTTAAAAATATTCCTTTTTGCCTCCAGCGTCTGGGATATATATTTTTTCATTAAACCCCACATTCTTTCAACTGTCTGTATGTGGGTTCCTTTTTCAGGATCTACGAAGTTGAATCGGTGGTTGACGTATTGGTGTTGGAATCCATGCTCCAGCAGACTTCGGTAGGCCAACCAGCCATCAGTATAAATAGTGGTGCCTGGTAGAACATGGTCTGGAATATGTTCTAGCAGAGTCTCCTTTGTTCTATTGTTCGTAACAATTGCGAATTTCTTGTGTGTATTCCTCGCAACACCTCCAAAAACCCAATAGCCTTTGGCAGTTTTTTTATTTATTTTTCACCTGGTCCAATCCTCGTCTCGTCTATTTCTGCAATACTGTTTAACCCTCCAATTTTTTTGAACTTTCGGTCATATGCTACTTTGCAGATATATCTGAATACCTTGTTCAATTTAACTATTGCATTGTGACTTAAGTTTAGTTGAGTTTGGAGAAACCTCTGAGTGGGATTGATATAGATTTTATAAATAATAAATCTACAATATGTCTGGATGTCTACTTTGCTACTGAAAAAGATTGTATTCACAAAGCCACTGATTTTGGTGTTGCATTTATTATTAAATTCGCCTTTTTGATTGTTTGGCAGTAGTCTCTGACATCTGTACGAGTTATTCCGAGGGTTTAACCTCATATTATGTCCACAGGTTGGACAGGTTATTTCCTTCTTTAAAATGCCATAGTTCACCAAATGTTGTATTAAATTATTTTTAGTCCTACATCCTTCGACATATTGGTATGGAATAAGTAAACCATATTTACCTGGTTTTTTTTTGTAAGATTTACAGTCAAACTTAGTTTGATAGTTGTAGGAAGAACAAAGTTTGAAGACAGAAAGTCTGGGCGTCTGGTCACTGTTTGTGTGTGTGAAAGTCTTTCTTGTAGACCTGTGTGTGAGTTTTTTCCTAAATTAGTTGATATTTGTTCAATTTAGATGGTTTGAGGACAGAAGATGGAATTTATGAAATTTATGAAAAAAGTCTCTGTTAGTGATCTTGACCTATATTTCTTGTAGAATACTAAAAAAAAGTTGGAATCGTCTACCTATCGGTCTGGTTACCCGAAAAAGTTCGAGAGAAAATCGTAAATTCCATGTGTTATTCACCGAATTTTATTGAAAATTCTATTTTTTACAGTTGCTTTTGATTCGAACGATTTGTTAATCATCAAATTCAAACCCGAATTAACTACAAAAAATTACGAAACGTACAAAAGTGAATATGTCATTTCTGTAGTGGCAGTCGAGTTTAATCTATTTTCCATTTGTAAACAATGCAATTCACCACTTCTTTTATTATAATTTATACCTATATTTATAGGCCTACGCAAGAGCATGGAAAGCTCCCCGAGAAGTGCTTTCAAACACGAAATTCATTGCTGACGGATCTGTTCAACGAAAGCAAACATATGAAGGCCGTCTACAATGTTTGGGCAGCAATATTATTTCTCTTATTCTTGCACACAATTTCGCACGATCTCATTGAAACTGGAACGGTGCAGTTAGGGTTCCTCACGATATTCATTGGTTTCGATCAATTCACACAAGTCATCAAGATTTGGCTTCTGATGACCCTGTCATCATTCGCAGTTTATGTATTTCACAGCTTCTGGGCTCATCAACGAGTGAAGTTTCAACCGAATTCAGTGGTTCTGGAAATTTGGGACTACATATGGTTATCAATGTTGATCGCATACCAGTCAGCCTTTCTGTACATCCCAGCCCAGGCTGTATTGTCAGCCAAATTTCCACCCCCATCTGCACTGGTAATTACGATGGAACAGGTGCGAATGATGATGAAAATTCATGCTTTTGTGAGGAGCACAAGTCCTAGAGTGATTTCCTATAAACCACATGCAGAGGGAAAAGAAATGAAATTCCCTGGATTCTCCAAGTTCCTGTATTTCATGTTTGCACCGACACTTGTTTATCGAGACAATTATCCAAGGTAAACTTCTGCAGTAAACCCTCTACAATTGAAATGAATATAGTTAGCCGGGTAAATTCATTTATTCCACATTTAGTATTCAAAACCATCTTTAAAATCGTTTGGTAATGATTGGTATAACCTTTGAATTGAAATATCTTCAAAGGTACTATGTATTACTTTGATGCAAAACGTATAAGTTCTGGGGTCTTGAAAGCACTATTGCTGTGGTCCCTTTTTACTATATCCATCAGTTTTGTATAAATTTCAATGAATATAAGGTGTTCCTTCGTCATCTCCGTCGTATCTTTTTACGACAATCTCTTGTGGCTTTTCCCCCACCAACGGTCTTACATTCATCTCTTTCTAACTGCGGCGCTCTCACTCCTTCACTACCAGAAGAAGGGCGCCAGCATAAGTGCTAGTTAGCAGAATACTAACCCCCGGAGCTGAGCACTTACGGAGGGTTTACTGTAATGTGGCCGCACTTTTTCGAACACACTGTATTCCAATAATTCTGTAATTCCAATTTCCGAGAGCTAGAAGGGAATATGATAGTTGAACAGCTTAAGGGCCGGCTCCATTATTTGCCGAACGTTATCTAAATTGTTGTTTTGTTCGATTTTTATCTCGAAATTTCGACTTGATGCCCCATCCCTCAGGGACACCCGAGCATTCTAAATTTAGATTTAAAAAAAAGGAAAAAAATTCTGAAAATTTTAAAAGAGCGTTTTTAATTAATATTGAGGAATTATTTCAATACAGGAGATATGAATAATGTATAATTACCATGGCAAATGGCGTCCTGTTAGTCGCCACCATGAGGGAGAAATGACGAAATAATAAATCCTTTGGCATACCGCAACAAGACGATTGTACGAAAAAAGGCTTTTTGAAAAAATTTGTAATATTTTTAAGAATTTTTTGATCACACTTTTACGATGAATTACTAATCACTTACGCCAATCTCCTCCACTGCAAATTGTTCTGGCGATCAGCTGTCACTTTTGTCAGGAATTGAAAACAGGAATATGATTCTTTCTTCCGTTTTTTGCGCCCCCGACAAAAGTGACAGCTAACAGACAGTACAATTTTCAATTGAGGAGATTGGTGTAAGTGATTAGTAGTTCATCGGGAAAGTGTGATAAAAAAATTCTTAAAAATAATACAAAATTTTTCAAGGAGCTTTTTTTCGTACAATCGTCTGGTTGCGCTATGTCAAAGGATTTATTACTTCGTCTTTCCTCCCTCCGTGGTGGTGACTGATAGCCCGCCATTGGTCACGGTAATTATACATTATTCATTATTATCTCCTCTATTGAACCCATTCCTTAATATTAATTAAAAACGTTCTTTCAAAATGTTCAGAATTTTTTAAACTCTTTTTTCAATAGAAATTCATAATTTGCGGGGATCTCTGAGTGACGGGGCATCGAGTCTAAATTTTGAAATAAAAATTGGAAAAAAAGCAATCTAGATAACGTTCGGCAGATAATGGAGCCGAGCCTAAAACTTGTATTTTTGTCATGTTGATAAATCATGGCAAATTGATAAATTACAGACAATCAAGAAAATCTGCTTCTTGTCACGCTATGACGCCTATATATTGTGCATTGTGACGACGCAATGCTGACCTTTCTCCAAATGCTGCAATTTTTTCCATGATTTTAAACAATGATTTAATAAACATAATTGGGATTTTTTTTAGAACGAGAACAATTAGATGGAGTTTCGTGGTTTCTTGTTTTGTTGAAGTCATCTTCGTCATGTTCTTTGTTGCATTTTTGTACGAACGATTCATCTCTCCAACATATGGTGATTATGGGAGGGACCCAATCACCGTGCGTAATTTCACACCGAAATTATTCAACTCAATGCTGCCGGGAATGGGCATGTACATGTGTGGATTCTACTGTCTCCTTCATGCATGGTTCAACGCCTGGGCAGAATTACTTAAATTCGGTGACAGAATGTTTTATAGGGTGAGATTCTTGAAGCAATGTTTTTTTAATTTAGAGTATTTGAACCTATTTGTGCATTTCGCTATATACAAAAAATGATACATCCTTTTTTGTATTTTTACATTGGTTAATTATATACTATATTTTTAATTTGGAAAACGTTAGGAATTACTCATCTATTTCCATTACATAATTGAAGAAATAATCATGTTTCATTCAAAAAATCATACTGAAGATAAATAATAGGAGATACTAGTGGGCTACGACCCCTGCTCGCTCCGCTCGCCAACCCCCCTATGATCTCCATGTGACCCTCATGATCTTTATTCTCACCCTTATGACCCTTAATTTGACCCTCGTGACCCTCATTTTATAATTTTTGAGTCTTAATTTCGTGTACCAAATTTTCATCACCAGAAGTCCATTTTGATTTTTATAATATAGATCTAGAGACCCTTATTTTGACCCTTATGACCTTATTTGAATCCTTAATCTGACCCACATTATAACCCTCGTCCACCCTTGTTTTTACCCTGGTGACCCTTAATTTCTGACCTTTGTTTTTTGACCCCCATAACCCTTACTTGGACCCTTACTCCGACCCTTGTGACCCTTTATCTGATCTTTGTGACTCTTATTTAGGCCCTCAATTTGACTCATGTTACCCTTATTTGGATCCTTAATCTGACCCTTATGACCCTTAAAATTGTGACTTTTAATCTGACCCACAATCCTTAATCTGACTTTCATGACCCTTATTTTTATCCTCAGGACCCTTAATGGGACGCTTATTCTGACCCTCGTGAGCCTTATTCTATCTTCGTGAGCCTTATTTGGATCCTCGAGACCCTTATTCTGACCCTCACGACCCTTAATCTGACCCTTAGCCTGATCCTCATGACCCTCATTCTGAACCTCACGACCCTTATAACCCTTATTTTGACCCTTGTGACCTTGATTTTTGAAGTCTTAATTTCACGTACCAAATGTTCATCACCAGAAGTCGATTTAGATTTTTATAATATAGATATTCAGCATTTCAATAGAACCAGCCAAGAACTAATAGAAGCTTCGATAGAATTGCCTAGCAAATTCGCTAGGTTTTTTTTATGAAATTTTTTCACACGTAGATTTGGCGTGGATCTGCTCATATCCTTATGAATAATTTCTCGAATTACTGTTTCCTTTCTCAGGACTGGTGGACTGCAACATCCTTTGACGCTTTCTACCGAAATTGGAATATAGTAGTGCACGATTGGCTGTACACATACCTCTACAAAGATTGCTACGAAATTATAGTTCCAGGGAACAAGCACGTTGCCACATTCATTGTCTTCGGTATATCTGCTCTATTTCATGAATTCATTCTTAGCATCAGTTTTCGTTTGTTCTACCCAATGCTGTTTCTATTTTTCGGGGGAATTGGGTATCCCCTCGTGTACATAACAAGAAAAACACCTAGAAATTTTGGCAATCTCTTCCTTTGGCTCTTACTGTCATTTGGTAACGGAGCACTCCTGACTTTTTATTCATCGGAATACTTCGCAAGGGTCAATTGTTCTGGATATGGGGATCAAATTATGGATGCATTTGTGCCGAGAAGCATTCTCTGTAATATTACATCTCCAGCTAATGTATCATCTATCTAAAAAATGTAATGAAAACTTAACAATATATTATGTAATTATTAATAAAGTTATTAAAGACTTTTGACTGAAGAAACTCTGTAAGTTTTTATTCTCCGTAAGATCGGTCTATACGAATCACTGCAATAAATGTTATGGAAATTTTCTCATACACTGAGAGAAAAACAGTAGAGTTTGCAAATAAGTCTTACTCGAGCTAAAAACATCGCTTGTTAAAAATGATTAAAAAAGGATTTTTTTTGCCAATCATACGAAGCATGCGCCGAGATTGAAAATTTCTATTGCAAAAATAGATTTAGTCTTTTAAAAAAAAAATTATTCTGTGGGCAAGCAAGAATAGTATATTTCGATATATGAGTGAGACGGAATTATGAATGCTTGGGCATCAATTTTCTAAGTTTTTTCCACTCGAATTCTGTAATACAAAACGGTTCTGATAAAAAAATCACAAGAGAAAAATTCAAACAGAAATTCGAAATCTATTGATTTTTTCTTATTGAATATCCAGTAGAATCAACACACATAACAAATAGAACTTTTCAATAGAATTCCAATCGAAATCTATAGAAACCCCATAGAATTCCTGGTAGGCGGAAAAAAAGCCACAGAAAAAAAGCCGACGCACCGATCACGTGTTAAAACCCATGTAATTTCGCCTTTTTTTCCGGAGCTGTTTTTTCCTCCGGCTGTTTTTTCCCAGATTCACTCATTCCCGCAATCACGGTGCTACGCCGGCATGAAATCATTCTGAAATCACGAAAATCAAGTGATTTCAGCTCTCCGAAATGATCTTCGAAATCATGTGAAATCGTCTGAAATCAATGAAATCCCCGTGCAAGTAATTCCTGCCTTTGAAATGAAAACACACCTGACAACGATGATAACAAAATGCCGTACTCACTGCCACAGTAAGATAGTAAAATGGACCACTTTTCATCGTCATTAGCTCAAGATTGGCGGAGTGGAATCAAACGAATTCGTTATTATTGCCAGTTTTGATTTTCATTATTTGACACAACCCGTTTTGCCCCACCCTTATTATTTATTAACTTTATTTTCCTGAAATCACTGATTGTGAATTAAAGAAATCATTTGAAATCATGAAATTATCGCTGAAATCACCCGAAATCGACTTCATTTCGAAATCATGGTGTCACTCAATTATGGAGTGAGTAGCCCCTCGCATTGCAGAGTATGCGATTTAAATGACTAGCAGATTAATAAATTATAGGTCGTGAATGACCTTTAGTGGTATGACAGTGGAAAATGTTCAGTTTTAATTTTAAAAAATCCCTATAAAAATCGCAAAAAAATTCGTGGGTGTTGAGATGATTTATAACATTTTACCGCTTCCCTTATAATTTAATTATGATCCCCTGTTTTCCGATTAACATATGAATATTAGTCCGCCGTGATAGCAGCTTAATCTCATATTGATAACGATATCAGTGATGATTAAAAAATATCTTGGACATACGAATTACTAAAATAGTGGATACTTTAATCTCATTAGATTCGTATGAACCGCTGTTCTCGACTTTTGCTTTTCCTTCGACTTTGACTCCATATTCATAGTTTCATGTGACGAATAAATGTCCAACGAGGGAAAAACAACTCCATTGAGTTCTGTCGGTATGAGTATGTTTTTTTAAATTTGTGATAATTTCTTCCCTTTTTGATTAATTTTTTCCATTGGCTTGATTAATATTTCCAAAATGAATAAATGAGTAAATGAATAAATGAATAAATGAATAAAGGAATAAATAAATAAATAAATAAATAGATTAATGAATAAATACATTATATTTCCGCCAAGTTTTTTGAAGACAGTTGAAACAAATGTACAGTGAAATACCGTTGCGTATCACAAGAAAATGCAATTGAGTGACCCTACTGCAACTGGGGAATTATCTCTCATCAGTATCACTGGGCGGACAATTTTACTTGTGTCGCGGTCACAGCATGAGTCGAGTTCTCGCATCTGGTTGATCAATAAATCATCCCACAATAGGATTTTTCGATTATGTGACGAATTAAATTTCTCTGCGGTGCGCGTCCGTGAATCCCTGCCTGCGGCCGGAATAACAAAAATGAATGAATTTTGAAAAAAATGTGAAATAAGCATTTCTTGTAGAGCATGTTCCCATTTACAGTAGATCTCTCCTGACACGTTTCTTTAAAATCACTCATTACGGGAATAATTGTGATATTTAATGACCTTTATCCACAATTTCAGGCAGTGATAATAGGCATCGGTTATTGACCGAGCAGACAGTCAGTGTGATGCATACAGAAGATGTCAAAGAGCGTATGCAGGCGGTGAGAACACAAAAACGTAGTGAGATGATAAAATGGGATAAGTCAATGTCGCTTCAAGATCAATTTATTGAAAATATTCTGCAATTCAAAGGAAATTATTCTTCTTTTCTCTCAGTTCTCCAAATACTCAGACACGTTCCTCATCGATTAACGAACACACAGAAAAACCTAAACGTAAATTACACCTGAACATAAAGCGTATTTTACGTTTATCAAAACGTAATTTCACTTTGCGTATAAGAGCTGACAATGATGATTTTGAATGCATCGCTTTAAACGTTTTCTAGATTTCGTTTCTAAGTTATTAACAATCGAAGTCACTTCTCATACATGCACCCCTATAGAGATTTCTCCATATAGAAAGATGCTATATTATATGTCCGATATAGTAACGCAGTTTCGTGCTAAATGTAAAAATCTCCATAAGAGCCAATGTATATGAAGCGACTTTAATTGTTGATAATTTGACGACGAAATCTAGAAAAATTGTAGAGAAATCCATACATCATTCAACTGTTCCTATCAGGGATGCCCAAATTTGTAATATTTTGCGGTTAATATTGTAGCCCTTAATTAGATAACATCACCCTTGAAATTTTTTGAGTACCTAAGTATCAGCAATTCAAATATTCAAATGTTCAACTATTGTATCAATCAATAATTTAAAGGGTTAGATCACTCTAGATTTTTCGAATAATCGCTTTTTTTTATTCTTTTAAATGGTCCCTTAGGACCTCAAAAATGAGATCCCAAAAGATTATGGCCGGGAAAAATTTCTAAGTACTCGATTTTCGAATTTTAGTACAAGGCCGCCCGGTCCGCAGCGAGCTCCTTTTGTGAGCGCTATGGGGGGATGTACTTTGGGGGAGAGGACCAGATATACGGCAGATGTTATTGGAGGCAATTATTACCTGACTAGACTAGAGTTTTATTCTGTTCAGTTTCGTCTCCCAAATAGTCGACAAGCGTCTGTTTCAGTCAGTTAGGCACAGCCAAGCATTTGAAAAGGACGCTATTCGGTGAACACTTGTTTTTCTCAACACTTGCAAGCTTTCTTTTTTTTTCCTGAGTAGTTATTAACTTGTTTTTATAATGAGTGACAAAGTAGTGTATAGTGGTAGAAAAGGAGTAAAAACGACACCTGGCAACAGCAAGAGACCGAAAATAGCTCGAAGAAGACCGTTGAATCACCATGAGTTGGAGGCACCAGATGACTTGAATGTCAGTACATACGCAAAAAAATTGAAGCAATCGGATGATCTGTATGATATTGAAGTAAATCCAGTTTTTGGTTATCATATGATAAACTTTATTGCAGTTTTTTCTGCTATTTCAAAACGTTGTCGTTTGTAAGGAATGCAAATCTCAAGTGAAATTTACCGAAAGTGGCAAGGGCGGTTTGGGATTCAAAATAGTAGTATCCTGTGAGAATTGTGCAAAGACTGAGATACCGAGTTGTCCATTTATTGAGAAAGGCTATGAAATCAAACGTAGAATTGTAATTGCCATGCACGGAATAACAAAATTTTGTGCATTCATGGAATTACCTCGGCCTATTTTTCACTTATTCTACGATAAGATTGTCAAAAGAATATCTATTGCAACTGATCAAGTGTGCAAAACAGTATGATGAGAGCTGTAAAAGAAGAGAAAGCTATTTCTGTTGAAAAAGGAGAAATAGGAATTATAGTATCAGGCGATGGTTCGTGGAGAAAACGTGGATTTACGTCCTTGTATGGCATAGTGACTCTTATTGGCTATAACTGTGGAAAAATCGTAGATTGCATAGTGAAATCAAAATACTGTAAAGCGTGTGAGTATTGGACTCAAAAAGAAGATACTGCAGAATATGAGGAATGGGCAGAGAATCATGCAAATGAATGCGTTGTGAATCACGTAGGATCAGCAGTAAAATGAGAAAGCAGAAAAATGAAAGTCGATGCAGTTGTTGAGATATTTCGGCGCTCTGAAACTTTACACCAGGTCAAATACACCCACTATATTGGTGACGGTGATTGTAAGACTTTTAAAGGCATTACAGATGCTAAACCGTATGATAATTTCACAGTACTCAAGAAAGAGTGTATAGATCACGTGCCAAAACGAATGGGTACCTGCCAACGTGCTTTGAAAAAGATGACAAAATGTCTCGGTGGGAGGGGCGAGTTGACTGGAAAACTTATAGACGAACTGTCTATTTATTATGGATGAGCCATTCGTAGAAACTGTGATTCAGTTGAGAACATGAGAAGCAGTATATGGGCTACACTGGATCATAAATCATCTACTGACGCCAAACCACAGCACGACAAATGTCCGATCGGAGAGGATTCATGGTGCTCATGGCAACGGGCTAAAGCTACAAATAGTTTGGCTGAGTACAAACATAAGCCAGCTCTTCCAATTGAAGTGTATGAAGCTCTCAAACTAATCTACGAACAACTGACCAATGCCGATCTTTTTATTTGATGCATCGGCGGTTACATACAAAACAATAATGAAAGCTTCAATTCGCCTGTGTAGGCATTGGCCCCAAAATCCATTTCTAGTGGTAAAACTATGTTGGATAATATAGCTAAAGATATTGCGGTTTGCGTGTACAATGACGGGTTTTCATCAATTTTGCACATAATGGAAGCAATGGACTTAGAAATCGGCCCGAACAGCTACGAAAGGTGCCTGGAGATCGACAAACAGCGCATAAAACTTGCAGAGAGATCGCTGTCTGAAGCTGTAAAAGAGTTGCGGATCGCTTTAAGATCACATAGAAAGGAAATGGAAGAGCAGGACACTAATCTGGAAGGCCAATTGTATGGTGCAGGTATCGCAGATTAAAGGTATTGCAAAATTATTCATGATTTTCTACTACTTAAAATTTTAACGCGTTTATCTCAAAACTGCATTTTTCAAGTTGGCCGGACACATAACTCAAACAATTTTCAATCGATTCACTTGAAATTTTGACTATATCTTTAAAAATATATTGTCTAAAGAAGTACGTAGGATTTTTTTTTATATTGCATAGTTCATTTGTTATTAACAATTTTCTGACGATTTTTTAAAAAATTTTGTACCTTTTACATTAGAAGTGCGCCATTTGGCCAAAAATCAATATATCAAAAAAATCCTACGTACTTCTCTAGCTATTCTTATGTATAATCAAAAAAACTTCAGTGATTCATCATAATTTAAAATTTACAGAAGCTGTTTGTCCGGCCGTATACCCTCCAAAAACAGAGACGTCATCGGAAAAACGCTGCACATCCACCATTTTGAAATTAATCGCCATAAAAAAATTATTGTATACAGTCAATGATATGTATAATAAACACCTTTTCTTGTAATCTCGATTTATTTTGTAGTTTTACTGAAAAAAAATCATAAAAAAGCCTATTTTTGCATCCTTTAGAGTGACCTAACCCATTAAGATAGGACCCCTTAAGATAGGAGGATTGATGATTACTTGTGTAATGGCAAATTCCCTTTCAAGAAATTTGAATTATTCACTTAGTAGTAAATTTACAGTTTCATATTAACAAATTTTAAATATATCATTACTCGTAAAAAAATCAGAGTATTAATATTGTATTGTTTGAAAAATTGAACCAACATATTTTAAACCTTCAATAATGTAAGGGTCAAATCCTTGTAGTATTACAGAAATTTAATATTAATGGGGTAACCGACGTCGGTGGCCGAGTGGATTAGACGCAAGTCTAGTGTGCGAAAGGTTGTGAGTTCGATTCCCCGTGGAACCGAATTTTTCAACGGAAGGCTCCGGCGAGCGGGAGGTTGCTAATAGAGGAACCGCCTGTACCGGCATGGGTTTTCTGTGGTTTCCCCATGTTACTTCTATGTTCTATAGAAGTGCGAATGCGGTACAGTGTAGAATCCACAGCCGCATGCATAGGGTTGGATAGAGTGCCGAATGGGACCCGAAATAGGGACTCCGAGGCCGTAAAAAAAAAAAATATTAATGGGGATCTCTGGCCCCTATCAACATCCTATGTAAATTTCAGCTTAACTCTCGATCACTCGCTCAATGAGCGCGGCGCCACCCGTTTCCTTTTTTTATATTTTAGTGTTTCTCGACGCTTAAAAATTCTGAAAAAAATAGAGTTCTCAATTCAATACTTTTATTAAGCGATGGCATTGTCCGTTTTTTTCTCGGGAAATTTGTTTAGCTAAAAAAAAGAAAAGAAACGTCGAACGGGCAGAAAAGCGGCGGAGCGCGGCCCGGTACGTGTGAGTCCCTGCCGGCCCTCGAGCGACAGTGTTGCTACATTCATTACTACACTTGAAATGCGCGCATAGCGGTAAGCACCAAGGTGGCAACAGCGCGCTCGGTTTAACTCAGCGGCGCTGCGCTAACCGTGTGACGGATGAAGTCTGGCGGCCGAGCGCGAGTGATCGAAGGTTAAGGATGTTTATCCAAAATCGCAAGTATTAAAAAATTTTTTTTTTTCACCTGAGAGATGAAGTTATTCCCTTTATCTTGATAAAAATTTCAATCCACCAACCCACGTTTATTATTTAGAAACGGAGTGGACAAAATGCACCAAACGCATGCCCTAATATACGCTTATATGGGATAGAATCTTTCAAATATTTCCTTGTTTTGCGCGGGTTCGATTCGGTATAGTTTCGCACATTACCTTCATATTTATTTCTATTGTTAGAGTCTTATAGTAGGTGAATTATAAATTTCAACATAAATCCCATAAGAGCCTGTGCATAAGGAAAAATTTGTTTATTCTGACGAGACTATTGCGATGAATTTTTTTTCAACATCAAAGAAGTTTCATACGTCCCGCTATCAGCCAAAAAAATATATAGAATTTTCTTTAAACATGAAAAAATAAGATTTGCTGAAAATGGCTAAACATCCTTAGTGTAATCATTTACCCTTTTCGAATTGAATGCCTTAGCATGAATTGACTTATCTCACATTCAACCGGTGTGTTCATTTGATAAATTAATACTTACACAGAAACTCCGAGATGTCCTTGACGAAGTCGGTGATCGGCTGAACGATATAGTGACAGAAGCTGTGGATGAGGGAATCGAAAGTATTGCGAATTTCGGCGCCGTAAGAAATAATGCCGGAGACACATTCCATATGGATAAAAGGTGTGATTCTTTTTCTACAAAGGAACAATCTTTGGAAACATCATAAATGATATTCCTAGACATATGAAAGGACTCAAGATAGCGTATAAATATGGATAAAAAATATACATAGGATGTGAAAACTTCATGTCGATGTATTTCAATGGGGAAAATCTCAGTAGAGTTTCACAGAATTTTTTTTTTAAACTTAATTTTTTCCTACCAAGCATCCTTTTTCAGATACCCCCAGGACGTGGGAAAAAATAAATATTTATAACAATTACACGCCGTCAGGAATGAGATCTTTACCTCTTGTCATTCCATTATAATTTTTCTATTTTTTAGGAAGACACAAAGGAGTGAGAAACTTGCAGAGAAACATTTCAAGACAAGAAATTCATTGCTGACGGATCTGTTTAACGAAGACAGGCATATCAAGGCTGCCTACAATATTTGGCTAATAATACTGTGTCTACTGTTTTTACACACAATTTCGCACGATCTCATTGAAAATGGGACGATGGAGATTGGGATTATGACGATATCCACTGGTCTAGCTCAATTTGCCCAAGTCATCAAGATTTGGTTCTTTATGACCCTGTTGTCATTCACCGTTTATGGGTTCCACAGTTTCTGGGCTCATCAACGACTCAAGTTTCAACCGAAATCAATGGTTCTGAAAGTGTGGGACTACACGTGGTTATCGTTGTCAATTGCATATCAGTCGGCCTTCTTATTCTTCCCAGCTCGGGCAGTATTTTTAGCCAATTTTCCACCCCCCTGTGCTTTGATAATCACGATGGAACAGATGCGGATGATGATGAAAATTCATGCTTTTGTGAGGAGCACAAGTTCTAGAGTTATTTCTCATAAACTTCATACGGAAGGAAAAAAAATGAATTTCCCACGATTCTCCAAGTTCCTGTATTTCATGTTCGCACCGACACTGGTTTATCGAGACAATTATCCGAGGTAAACTTCTTATTGATGGATTTCAAATGCCCCAATTGAATTGGATGTGAATAACAATACTCTGCCTATTAATAATTAGTATTGCTAATGGTGACCGCAGAATGCCCTAATGAAGGAGGTTTTGAACAAATCTATGTGAGCGGTTGAAAAAAAATTTTTTTTGAATTTTTTTCTTTTTCTCGTAACCAAGGGGAGACTACACTAAGAGAAGAACAAACATATTGTCAAATAAGTCTAGTTTGGGCCAACAAAATCGCTAGTTGAAAATTGCCAAAAAAGAATTTGTTTAGTTCGAATTTGAAAGTCTCAAACACGAATAATTGTTCTGCTTTTGACAGCAACGAATTGGCTCAAAAGGCGGATAATTCACACCAAATAGCGCCTTTTCAGGATGAAAATATCTCATATAGACGAAAATTTATGAATAAATATTTTATCCCTAAGTTACACAATTGCTATCATATCATTATTATTGTTTCATTTAAGAGTTCATTTCTTGTCTGTGATTGTTAGACAGCCGAAACGAACAACTACTATCCCTTGTTTCGCATAAAACAAAGATTTTCCGGAAGCAAAATACGTGTGGGAGTATCGAATAACGAAGAAGTAGTGCTACAGATGACATTTCTTGCATGTACAGAGAATGCAATTTTTTTAAACTACTAAATCTATTTTTGCGACAAAAATTTTTCATTCCGGCGCACTCTCTACATGTTTGGCACAAAAAATCCTTTTTTGATCCTTTTCAAAAAACTATTTTCTTGGCACAAGTAAAACTTGTTTGAGAACTTTGTCGTTTTTTTCTCAGTGTACTATGAGTTTTTGTCTCCAAATGGGCTCCCCGAATTACCCTCACGGGGATGACATTTCATTTTGTAATACCCTGTATATGCATGTAGAAGTCAGCGGACTGAGGCTGCGACAAATAATAATGTAAATAGACATTGTAAATACACATTGTACAAATAGTTACATTGAGTAAAAATTTGAAAATTTGAAAATATAGAATATTTTCTCGTCAACATTGCAATAGAATCGACCAAAAACTAATAGAGCTCAATAGAAATCCAATGGAATTGTCTATCGAATTCGCTAGGTTTTTCTATGAAATTTTTCGTTCCATACGTGAAATTGAGGCATTTGAACAATTTTCAAAGTTTCGGTTCATTGTGATCTCTTGTGGGACTTGAAACTCTTCGGAGTTTGCTCATATTTCAGTTTTTTTAAGAGCCTAATAAATACTGACAACAGCTTCACTATGACAAAATTCAGAAACTCCAATTTCCCCGCGGTCTCTCCTTAAATCTACTGTACAAATTTTTTCATAATGATTGTCTCCTTACGAAAGGTACTGAAAAATTTTCCCATCGCCTTTAGATTCGATGCTATTCATCGAAATCTCAAGGAGTTCACGTCATCCTATTTCATTGCAGATTTGAATTTTCAGCACAAAGACCATCAGGTGGAGCTTCGTGATTTCCAACTTTCGGGATGTAATCTACATTTCGTTTTTCATTGCATTTTTATACGAGCGATTCATTTTTCCGACATACCGTGATTGGGGAAGAAATTCAGTCTCGGTGCGTGGGTTTGCACCGAAGTACTTCAATTCAGTTCTGCCGGCATTGGGAATGTACCTGTGTGGATTCTACTGTCTTCTTCATGCCTGGTCCAACGCTTGGGCAGAACTGCTCAAGTTTGGTGACAGATTGTTTTATAAAGTGAGTTCCTTAATTGATAAATTCTGTGCATTTGGTAATTCTATTAAATTTTGAAGCATGTTTTTTCCTCTTCTTAGCAAATCCTAAAATTTGCTGTTTTTTGTTATGCCACGTTGTAATCATACATACTCGGAATCTTATGACAGATAAAGATAGGTGGTTACAAAATTTTCGGACTTGCTAAGAGGAAAACAAATCAAAAACTTAAAAAATCATTTTCTCATGATCTAATACATATTATAAAGTAAAACAGACACTTGGATTTGTTCGTTGGAGAATAACGAATATTTGAAAGAAGTTGAGATGGGATGAAAATTATGGTGCAAGAAGCATTTTTAAGCTAATAACGTGAAAAATGACGTTTTTGGTGGACATGTGGGGCAAAACGGGTCGATTCTTTTTAATATATCCCTTCATATAACAAAAGTCGTCCAATGGGTCTTAAGGTCAGACGAAGACTTAAATTTCATCGCAGTCTCCTCTTAACCCTCGATCACTCGCGTTCGGCCGCCAGCCTTATTCATCCGTCGCACGGTTAAGGTTTCTGTTGTGTAACTTTTTTCGATATTTTTTGCTTCAATTTTTATCGTAGATAGCTCTAAGAATTAGCTTTAAAATAAGCAAATTATAAATGCAATTGACCATCGCAAACCGGAGATACATTTTTTTTTAATTTCACACGTTGTTAAATGCAGTTTCACCCTTTTCAATTAAAAAAAAACAGCTCGACATTTTTCATGAAAAAAACACAATGTAGAAATAGTCTCAATCAATCTACTGAAAAAAAATGGAATTGATTGAACATTTCATTTTCTAGAAATTACCATAGAAACTTGGTTTTTTTTCCCAATGGGTGGGACAAGTGAGTTCAGTACGCGAGACGTGGCAACATACTCAATAAAACAAACCACGAATTCAGCCATGTTAGGAGTCACACGAACAGAGAGACACACTGCGCGTGGTTGCCACAGTCGACACCATTTGGGGTTACCCGGGTAGAAATTCAACCGGGGATTCAGCCGCAACTCGGGTGAGCGCGAGCTCAGCCTCGGCTTGCCGCTTGACCCGAGTTCACGCCGCGACACGCCGCTCCATACCGGCTCACAGTCGAACGCTCATCANATTGTTCATCTGAAAAAGCATGCCATCTTCACATTTATTCGATTGTTTTTTCGCTCAAATCACGATGCCATCGGACCTGTCAAATCATTATTGAGGTTAAGTATACTGGGATTGAGTAATTGGAGATGAACCTGAGGTTGAGCAGTGGCCATTCAACTAAAGCCCGGCGAAGCGTTTCGCGTAATAGTCTAACGCTGGGCTGTGAGCGCGTGACGCGGCTCAACCTCGGGTACATGTGACGCGCGTGGAGTTTATCCCAAGCTGGGGCGGAGTGGCGTATTTCTAGCTGGGATACGGATTCCGAGCTCGAGCGGCGTGATTTTTACCCGGGTGGCTGAATGCGCACGTATTCATGTATAGTTCATTCATGTATGCGTGAGCCGAGTCGAACTGTACAGCAGCAAAAGTTTTTGTTTTAAGCCGGGTTCTTCGTTTTGCGAAATACCAGCCCAAAGTGTGAAAAATTTCAAGTGTGACTTTCTCGGGACAACAACCTTAACGCTGCGCCACTGGATTAAACCGAGCGCGCTGTTGTCACCTTAGCGCTTACCGCTATGCAAGCACTTCAAGTGTAGCAGTGAATGTAGCAACACTGTCCCTCGAGGGGTCGACAAGGACCCACTCGCACCGGGCGGCGTGACGTCGCTTTTCTGTCCATTCGACATTTCGTTCCTTTTTTTAGCTAAAAAAATTTCCCGAGTAAAAAACGGACAACGCCAGCGCTTAACAAAAGGATTGACCTAAGAACTCTGATTTTCTCAGAATTTTTAAGCGTCGAGAAACACGCTAAAATATAAAAAAACAAAAACGGGCGGCGCCGCGCTCTTTACTTTACGACCTTCGTTAAGGAGAGTCTACAATGGACGCGCGTTACTGAGACGCGTGTGTTATTACGTCCACGCAGTGCATTCCGTGAAGGTCTGTGCGCAGGACCGTGCGCAACCCGCGCCAACAACTGCCAGTTTGTTTTTGGTTAAGCGACATATAACCTATGCACAATAAAAAATGAACAAAACTCAATTTAAATGAAAAAAATTTTATGTCTTCCAGGGAAAATACCTGTCAACCTTTTTAGCACGACCTCAAGGATGGTAGTGATGGATATTCATCAGTATTATTTCAATTAACCTACAATCAATTCTTTTCCCATAAGAAAATGTCTACGGAGAGTATGTTTGTGGAGATAAATTCAAATTCAACAAAAATGTTGAATTTGGCATATTACCCTTTACCACTTGGCTACTGATTTAATCCTAAGATTATCGGTAAATGAAAAAAATTCATGGAGTCATTCAGAGCTAATAAAATCAATAATTAAACGTTAACTTAACTTTCAAATCAGCCATTGAAATTTATTAACATAAAACTGCGCTTTTCCAAGAATATTTTTGGCTAAAATTATTATTTTATTGTTTATTCAGGAAATAACATAAGATTATAATTAAAATGAATAAATGATGGGTCGACAAGAGTTATTATGTTCAGAATTTAAGATCAATGATTTGGGTTAAGAACATGAGATCAATGATTTAGGTTTTTTCTATGGGTCATCAAGTTCAGCCAGGCATTCTTCTGCAACTTGTATCATTCGCCTGAGACAGTTAACTCTCTTTCGCTTAGGTAGCAGGGACAGAGTGTATGAGATGATCGCAGTAGCTTCACGAATCTTCTCCATTTCTGAATCTGATTCTGTCATCGTTGGCGTCTTGCTAGCAATTTTTTCCAGAACATCGACGGTTTTTGAAGCAGCATCGACCAGCTGACCACCCCATTCACCTAATGTATTCCATTTTTTTTTTGTGGAAAAAGTCAGGAGGTGGTACAATGGGCTTAATTGGATTCTTCTTTTTTATGTCTAATCTAATTTTCTTTCTCAACTGTATCAAACCATCCGCCTCTTCATCATCAGCTGCAATATTAATTCACATTAGAACTTAGACTACGTATTATAACTCAAGTACTGGAACATACAATTATCATCTGAGCTGCTATCACCAGTGAATATTTTTGTTTGGAGAGGAATGAGCACGTTTTGACAATGTTGAATTGGGCTTTTTGGATTTCTCGCTGGCTGGTATCTCTTCTTTCCCAGCAGAGGAATGGGAATTTTTTTCATTGTGGACGTTGATGTGATGAACAAATTCAGATTTCATCGGAGACACATGGGTGGGTGACGGGGTCTCGCTTTTTGAGGATTCATCACAGGATTTAGAGTTAGGCAACTGCTCTGGGACGGTAATAAATAAATCTTCAGTTGGTATAGACAGCCACGAAGGCAGGTCGATTATTTCTGGCTCTGGTTTGTAAACTGGTACTTTTTTGGACTCATTAACCAAATTTAAGTTGGATGTAGTCCTGAAAAAATATCACCACAAGAGGGAAATCTATAGTACAATGGCGGCAAGAAAAAAATACCTAGAAATTCACACAGCATTTTTTTATATCTCGCGAAATGAAATTGATAATGAAATTGATAAATTGCTCTCGTGGGTGCAAATAGTTCCGGAGGAAATCCATGGCTGAGTAATACTGCCACTTAGATTGGTACACCTGGACCAAGCCATGACTACCAGATGGAACTTTCAGCGACGCTTGTTCCTTCTTGAATTCTCTCAATAGAGTATCTCTCAATGTTTTGAATCTTGTAGAAGCCTCAGGACCTTTTGGTATATTCAATAAAGTATACCAGACATGGTGACATGATGAAGAAGAAAATAAGCATTTTTACCAGTCACAGGTGGTTTCACAGATGCTCCGATGGCTTCCCAAGTTAGAGATTTTCCCTTCGTGTCTCGATACCCTGGAGATTCTTTACACCACAAGGGCGGGTTTTTCTCAACCAGAGAAATTAGTTGTAATGCCTGTGAGACATTCATGTTCACTCAGAATCGGTAAACCGTATGAAGGTAACAACTGAAGAGAAACAAACAAAATCAAGGACATAACCATCATAGTTGGGTATTCGTTGAAGACACGAACGAATTGGCTCTGAAATATTGCTTATTAATTATGGATCCATACAAGCAGTTGATTATGACGGTCAAAGCTTTGCCGCAGCTATGGGATGAAAATAAAAAACTTTTCTACACAGACGATGAGAATCGTCAGCGTTGGGACATGGTCGGAAAGCAGATGATTCCTGCCATTTCTGGTAAATTTTTTTGCTTTCCCACATCATTCTCCACAATACGCAGATAATACTTCAAAAATTTCAGATATTTTCTATTAAATATTTTCAATTGAAAAAAACCTGGGTAAAAACTGCAAAATCTGACAATTGAGTGGGCAATAAACAAATAGTTTTTCTGACATAATTCCTATAGAATTTCCTAGCAAATATGGTCGGATTTTCTATCGAAGCCCCTTTTGCTTGCTGATTCTGCTAAGTCTCCAGCTTCACCATCAGCTGTTGACCTTACTCAACAACCATTGATGACACTGGCTTATTGCTATAGTAAAGTTCCAGAAGATGCAAAAATGAAGTTTATCAGCAAGGTCTTGACTCTCACTGAGGCTCTGTCAAAAAAGAAGAAATAGCCTGAGTCCTCGAATGATTGACTAGATCATTATGCTATTCTTACAAATTACGAGTTGTAATTTTCTTTTTCGTTCAACTCGACTTCTTCAATTTGTTTATCATTTTGTTATAGAAAATCCTGGAATATTCTAATATGCCGAACGTAGTTCTTGTTCGTGATACCATCAAACCAGACAACCCTTTAAATTCCTAAGGCTTTTTTTTTATAAAATCAAATTTCTGGGAATGGATTCATGGGAGAGACTTGTGTTACATGGACCCTCCAAAACTATTGATGCCTGCCAAGTTAGTGGTGACAATAAAAATTTCTTGGTATCATTTCAAATTTATTATCTAAATTCTGCAAAATGTAACTATTCATCACATAATTTCTTTAAAAACTTTCTTCAATCTTAGGGCCCCAAAGTGTTTCATTTACTCTGATGATTTATCAATGATCTGGGTGTATGTTTTGTTCATTCTACGCTCAATAAATTTTTATTCAAACAAAAAATCGAATTCAATGGTTCTCTAACTTGAAAAACTCATTCCTGTGAAGTATGCATTGGAAGAAAAACGTGTCAGTAAGTGTGGGTGTCAATCAAAAAAATTAAATTGATCAAAGCAATTTGCATTTGATCGATGGATTCTGAAGACTCTGATGCCATTGTCCTCGGTTGTTTACTGTTAAATACCTTCATCTTTAGTATTTTGTTAGCTCTAAAGACGAGAAATTCTCGAAGATGGTGGGTGAGGCCAGTCAACCAGAGTCGAGACGATAATGGTTATTATGAGAAAATATTTAAAGAAATGAAAATGACTGATTATGAGGAATTTTTCTCGTTCACTCGAATGTGGCCGGATCAATTTGATGCATTACTGCCTTTGGAGACTGAATTACGATTAGCCCTCATTATCGTATGTCCATTGCACCCTTCCCCGACTTCCAACAAGTCTGTACTTGAAATTGTCCTTTCGATTCCAGGTATTTAGCCCATGCCGATAGTGTGAAATCTAAAGCCTGGCAATTCCGTGTGGGAAAATCAACCACTTATGTCATGGTACCAGAGACTTGCAGAGGAATTTACCAGGCTCTCCAGCCAATCTACCTTCCCTCCATGAACCGACAGAAATGGAACAGAGTAGCAAGAGGTTTTCTACGCAAGTGGCAATTCCCAAATTGCCTGGGAGGTCTTGACGAAAAACATGTCATGATAAAACCTCCACGAAACTCGGGAACTCAGTACTATAACTATAAAAAACGTTTTAGTATTGTTTTGATGGCAACATGTGACGCTTCATACCGGTTCACATGGATCGATGTTGGCCAATATGGTGTGAAGTCTTCATCAACTGAATAATAATTATTTATACTGATAAATCTTATTCATTGACAGGATCTATCAGTGATGGTGGTGTATGGGGTTGTTCAGACCTGTGCTCAGCTTTGAATGCAGATCAAGTTGATCTACCGCCTCCTAAAAAGTTACCAGGATCTGATAGAACTACACACTTCAAATTCGTTGGTGATGCAGCATTCCCACTAACCAAGTTCACATTGACACCGTACCCGGGGAATAATTTAGACCCCGCGAAAAGAATTTTCAATTACCGATTGTCCAGAGCCCGGCGGTGTATTGAAAATGCATTTGGGCTTTTATCATCAAGATTTCAGATTTTTCATCGAACACTGGCTTGGCATCCGTCTGATGCAACTTCCATAGTCAATGCAACAGTATGCTTGCACAATTGTATCAGGGATACTGAAGCTGCATACCCGTAAGAGGCTCGAAGATACAGTGCATTGTCTGATTGGCAACGAATCCCTCGAGAAATCAGAAACGCTGATGTAGCTCGAAATTCTCGACTTGCTGTTGAAGAACGCGATGTTCCTCGCGATTATTTTATTTCTCCGACAGGAAATGGTCAAGCTCCTTGGCAGTATAATCTTGTATATCGAGGGCACAATATTAACCGGTAGATTATGCAAAAATGGTGAAGTGTTGAACAATTCAAGTTGAGTTCAATTGATGAATCTGTGTCTGAGTTATTAATATTTTTTAAGGTAATTCTAAGATGATCTATAGTTGCCTAAGGACTATACTATAGTTTTAGAGATTTTCAATCATCAAATTTGTTACTTAAATTGCATGAGAAAAATTTGAAAAAATTAATATTCAATCAGTATCATACAAATTACATTTCGCAACATTTATGTATACATACATAAAGATGTATAATTAATGAAGACCTATCACTACCATCATTGAGCTCGTGCTAAAAAGGTTGACATGTATTTTCCCTGGAAGACATAAATTTTTTTCATTTAAATTGAGTTTTGTTCAGTTTTTATTGTGCATAGGTTATATGTCGCTTAACCAAAAACAAACTGGCAGTTGTTGGCGCGGGTTGCGCACGGTCCTGCGCGCAGATCTTCACGGAATGCACTGCGTGGACGTCATAACACACGCATCTCAGTAATACGCGTCTATTGTAGACTCTCCTTTACTCGCGTGGTGAGCGCTGCGCCGCCCGTGCTTTCAGTAACGCAGCGTTGTTACGTTCATAGGTACGCGCCGAGCGTGCGGCGAGCGGGAAACAGCAACAGCGGAATTGAAAATTTTACATCCTTCGTTACTCGCGCTGGGCGGCACGGCGCCGCTTTTGCGTATGACCCTCAACAATTTATTATTTTTCGTAGCCTTGATGGATTTTCAGCGGATAAGAACCTTGCTAATCCATTCTAAATGATTCAAGCTAGGCATTCTAATTTTTTCAATTTTTTGAAAGCTCAATTTTGCAAGAGGCAAGCGAAAATTTGAAAAAGGCGGCGCGGCGCTGATAGCGCGAGTTCTGAAGGGTTAAGCGAGTGATCGGGGGTTAAGGGTTAAGGCTTAAATGCACTAATTTATCTACTGAACTTTATCATGTGTGTTCTAATGTGTCGAAATAAAATTATTCCATGAACTATTTTTCCCTCATCCAGGACTGGTGGACAGCAACGTCGCTCGAAATCTACTTTCGGAAGTGGAACGTTATAGTTCACGATTGGCTCTACACATACCTCTACAAAGACTTTTACGAGATTATCGTACCAGGGAATAAGTACGTTGCCAGCTTTATGGTCTTCGCCATTTCCTCTATATTCCATGAATACATTCTCAGCGTGAGTTTCCGCCTGTTCTACCCGATGATGTTCGTATTATTTATGGGAACTGGATATCCTCTCGTCTATGTAACAAGAAAAACCTCGGTCCTTGGCAACCTCTTCCTCTGGTTCCTACTCGTCTTCGGAAATGCAATTCTTCTGAGTTTTTACTCTATAGAATACTTCGCTAGGATGAATTGTCCTGAGTATGGAGATGTTATTTTGGACTTATTTATGCCAAAGAGTTTTTTCTGTAATAATACTAATTTTGCTAATTAAGCGTCTACATAAAATTTTCAATTGATTGTCTTCATTATTTTTGCTATTGAAATGATTTGTGAATTTTTATTGAGATATTCAATTAAATAAATTGAAAACTGTTGACAATATTTAAAAAAGAATAATAAATGTTGGATACCTATTTTTATTTTTATTTTGAAATAGGACGAATAGAAAATCATTTAGAAATGAATGAGAAATTCCGCATCGCGATATGGCATGCTAAAGAAAAGTGGACGCAAAAGGATGACGTATGAAATAATTCAACAGAAATTCTATTGAATTCCTAGTTGAACAGCACAAGAATCCTATAGGATTACTACAATTTCATTGAAATTCTACCTAAAATTCTATTTGCTTCTTGTGCCGATTTCTGTTGAAAATTCTACAACTTCCCACGCGTTTATTAATTGACTAGGGGGTTATGCCCCCTGCTCGCCAACCCTTATATAATCCACATATGACTCCCATGATCCCTATCTGACCGTTGTGATCCTTAATGTGGCCCTCGTGAACCTCATTATACCCCTCGTTACCCATATTTTGACCCTTAATTTTGGAGTCTTAATTGCGATTACCAAATTTTCATCACCATAAGTCGATTTGGATTTTTATAGTATAGAGAGATAAGTTGGGACAGAAAAGAGTCAATATAGGATGATGCCAGCACTTTGCTTTCAAATTGCAAGAAGATTAGAATGAAAAATCAGTCATTCAATGGCACAAAAATTATGAAATTACGATAATCAATTTTTGAATAGTGAGCGTTGGAATCATTCAATAATTTAGCTAATAAACAAATTAAAAATATAGACTTTTCAAGATTTTGTTAGAAAGGCCTTCTAATCTAGGAAATCTCAAAAATCTCGAAAATCTAGACCTTCACCATTACTCCTTATGGTAACCTGCATTAATTTAAAAAGTAGACCTTTCAAGATTTTGTTAGAAAAGCCTTCTAATCTAGAAAATTGCGAAAATCTCCTCATGGTAGGCTCCCGCCATGCCTTCATGATTGAAAATGGCAGTGTTGCGGCAATATGGCGGTAGTAGCAGCGATGATTTTAGCGACATTCTGCGTGATAATTTGAAAAATGTTCATTGCAACAATCAACCCGATAATTTTATCAACATGAAGAGTCGTATTAAATATCATATCAAATCCCATTGACAGTTGCGTCACCACTTCCAATCATGGCGGCAGTCAATCCCAACGTGATTGATGGCTGCAGCATTGACAAATTCTAACATTCGCCATGTGAAAGTCTATTATCGGAATTTAATCATTTTTGTATCATTGAATTCCCGATTTTCTATTCTATATCCTTCTGAAATTTGTAAACAAGGTCCTGATATCACCCAGCAGATCTTCATTTTTCCATATAATTTATTCTTTACAGATTGGGATTTTCTCTACAAGAATTCTGGAGAATGATTTGTATTTGCTTTAATTACTATAAATAATGAGGACGGGTGGTGGCGCTCGTGAGAGGTGGTTTATTGGGGGTTGCGTCGTCAGTTTTTGGGAAAAAGTTATGCATTTTTTTGGTAAATATTGGAGGAAAAGTGACTGTGGGGGTTCCTCAAGAGGCAATCTTCCAAGGGAATAATAAATTTCCGATGAAATGGTGAAATCTGGGAAGTTTGAAGACTGTTTTCTCGGAGGGCTGGCGACGAGGTTAGGTGACGCCTAACGAACTAGGCTAGAGGAGTGAGAGGGGCAGAAAAAAAACTGGCGGCAAGCACCATGTGTGAATGTGGAAAGGAGGTTATATCGGGAATTTGGGGAAAATCCACGTGGTAGTTGATGGTGAGGCTGCAGCTATTCTGCGAGAGAAACACATTGATGGGGAGGAAAAAAGGAAAGGATTTGGTTGCTGAGGCAAGGCAAGGATGGGTGTGTGACAACCAAGGAGGGAACGAGACAACATGATTGTGTCGTCTATGTTTTTGGGAGAGCATCAAGGGACTTTCGGGAAATATGGGGGAAAACTTTGTGGAGGCGCCTCAGTGGACGAATTCTGAAAGGAGTGATATTTTGAGAATGCAGTTGACAAATTGTTGTTGCTAAATTGGCGGGCTATTGGGGGGGGCTATGGAGGGAAGAGCCGACAGTTATCCGGAGAAA